CCTACGACGAACCCGTGCTTGTTTCCTTTCAGCGTCGTTTCTCCTGCTGGGCTTTCACAAATACGCTCTTTGATGATTTTTTCCAGTATTTTCCCAGGGATAGGGGTATAGAGCTACAGTAACTTTGTTACCGTGTGTTCCCCTCTCAGCACTGCCATCCCTTCCCTTCCTCTCCCCTTCCTCCATTATCTCTCTTTTATATTAAAAAATACCCTCTGCCTTGGACAGCCTGCTTTCTGCATGTCCTTTCATAGCATCTGATGAGGTGAGAACTTGTGCATGAAAGCTGATGCATCTTGAATTCAATGGTTCTAGTGCTGCTCAGGCTTTCTGGTGGGCAAGTCCAAGGCCATGCACCACATCTGGGGCTGCAAATATGACTGGGCTGCACAAGTGTCCCCAGACCCAGTGCACATAACATGATGTCTCAGTGTGCTGGGTACAAGGATGCCTGGGTGGCTCTGGATGAATGTGTGTGTTTGTGTGTGTCTGGGAGGGAGGGGGCGGGGGGCAGGTTGAAGGGACAGTTTGCCGGTCCGGGGGCAGGGAATGACCCGTCGCCTGGGGTCCGGTCGAGCACGCTCGAGTTCATGAGCGCGGAGGGGTCGTTAGCCCTGCCAGCACGACGGCAAGGCAGAGACGCACCTTACAGACCAACTACATCAGAGACGGATCAGCTTTGGACACCCCGCGCTGACTTAGGCACCTCTGATTTAGTCTGTAAGGTGCATCTGTACCCGGCCTCCTGCCTCAGGTGGATAAGCTCGGCACAGGAGTGGCCGGGGGGGAATGCAGCAGCCTGGGTTCAAACGGGAATTCGACCCCGGCGCTTCTGGTCCCTTGAAATTTATGAATCTCTGAGCCCGACTCCACGAACGACAAGTCGAAGGAGGTGCATCCGTGCAGTAGGGAAGGGGCATCGTGTAGGTGTGAAGGGACAGCTTGAAAGGGCTGAGGCTTTGGGGTCGAGGAGAGCCACCTAGATAGCTGACGGGAACCTGGGCCCAGTCCACGCCATTCGAGGGTCTGTAGTAGAGCGGCAGGTTCTTACAAAATGAGAGGTATGGTGCCTCTCCCACCCCAGCTGCAGTGAGATTGCAAGAGCGACGCTCAGCTGGTGCAAATCAGTTCTGCCTGGAAAGGCCTGAACAAAATCATCTGAATTGGAGACCTACTCTTGCAAAATGCCCCTTCAGGGATTGCAAAGAGAAACTGGGAGCTCTCAGTACGTCAAGGCACAGTGCCACGCTTAGGAGAAGTCGTTTGAGTTGTCGGAGCGTGTGCCGGGTTGGAGGCCTCTGAAAATCCCACCCGTTTCACAACGGGTTGGGATTTTTCACTTGTCTTTTTTTCATGTCGTAAGGGAAGTCTGGTGATTTCTGTCCTGTGGAATCGGCCTTTCTGTGGCAGCTAGTGGAAGGCCACAGGGAAACCCCCCATTAGGAGCTGAATCTGGCGCTGGGTTTGAAAATCTGGATCGTTCTGGGAGCTCTAGTCACCCTTTAAGGCTCCAAATTCATCTCCTGTGCAACTCCATCCATTTTGGCCTGTGGAGCTGAGTAACATTTGGGCTAACGTTTTTATTCGAACTCTGGAACAAATCCGCCCATCTCACAGAGTCAGCGAGACTATTAAGGGGATAGATAGTAAGGTATTGGGTAATGGGCATGAGAAATATTATTTTTTAGCTATTGCAGCACTCTTAATATGTCCCTGTTCATAGACCCAGAGACAAAAAAGGGCTGCCTGTCTGCAATTTTTGAGTACACCTATGAATGTAAAATGGCCCTGACGCGGTGAATGAGGGATTTAGCATTTTGCAGACATGGTACAGATGAACCGAGGGTGAGAAGGTGTCACCGTCTCTGCTCAAACTCCGTTTTGACTCTTACAAGTGACGGTCTTGTCTGCACAAGAAAGTGCTCCTGTTTAGCTAAGCTAATTTGCAAAGCAGTTTAGTTAAACTGCTCCAACCCTCTTCTGATGGCCACTTATTCTAGGTGAAGAGGCAGCTTCGATCCGATACCTTCCCAGTTTCAGCCCAATCAATATAACCCCCTCTTGAACAGATTGAAGGGGTTGCCATGCAAACAGGCTGCCCTGATTTAACTCAATTGGTTTCTAAACTGATTTAATGACATAGAGATGCAACTTTCTCATGGAGGCAAGTAGTAGCGCTGTCAAAGGCATCGTCACTGAGAAGCCTGAATCCAGTTTTTTTAAAGGTCTGGGGAAAAGGCTGTGTTTGACTCCACCAGAAAATGAGTACAGAAGCTACTGAGCAGCTGTCGTGTCGTTCTGGGGACGTGCTGGCTGATGATGGCTTCTTGTGGTGGCCATGCCAGTAACCTGCAGAGGATGTGGTTATAGAAGCTGTTACGTGGATTTTCTATGGCAAAACCCTCCTTGCAGTCAGCTCTTGTTTAATCCCACCTGTCTCCAAGGCTTTTCATAACCAATGGTCCCTGCAAGGGGACCCTCGTATCCCTCTGTGACTCACCATCGCAGTCAGAGAGCCAATTGTTTCTCCTCGTACAGGGCGCGTTAATGAGGAGCCCGCACTGCTGGGGAGCAGCAGTGGAGCCGTATTTGGACTCGGAGCTGTATTTCCTACCAGACCTCTCTATTTGATGATGGCTAGTGAAGCGGTTCTGTACAGCTTAATTTCTCCAGAGGGTAGGTCCAGGTTTGCCACTAACAATAAAGATTCAGCCGTTGAGATGCGCTTTATTAGCATTCAGTCATTATGGCAAGATTTCCTACCCCGCGGCCCAGCAATTTGCTTCGCCTTCGTTTTCACTTATGCATTTGAGCTTAGGAAGCAAAGTGCTATCAAGTGTTTCTGAAGTGATGGCAACTGCCCTTGAGCAAGAAACCCGCCCGCTTCAGCAGACCTGCATCCCGTGGCACAGCAGATCCATCTAGTCCTACTCGAACGACTTCGACAGATCACAGACGGTGTTTATTCGATACAAGAGGAACCCCAGCCATCTCTTGCTTTCAGACATATTTCTGCAAGAACTACTACTGTCTCTCCCTCCTGGCCACGTTATGTGCCTGGGCTTTTAGCACAGCAAAAGCGGAAGGGGTCTGGCATTTGGATCAGGAATACGGCTGGAAAAACAAGTCCACCCTTTAAATTTAGCCCCTTTTCCTGTTAGCGATGTACCTGTGGATGGACTGGCTAATTTGTTTGCTATTCCAAATGACTTGACAAATGGTTCATGCCAACTTATTCAATCATTTGTCCGCAGACCTTCGCTTTTGTCCCATGACCGACCGACCCAGACGCGCGCAAAGAGCACGTGAGCGGGCCGTGCACCAGGCCGGACTGCAAGCACGTGTATAAGACCATGTTCACCCATTGACATCTCTTCTCCTCGTCCCCGCAAACTCAAATTTACCAGCAAGGGCGTGAGGGGTAGCTACAACTAGAGCAAATTCATAATGATTATTCCTGTTCATACTTGGCTGAAGCATTTGTCTGATTCTACCCCAGCATACGGCTGCTCAGAGATATGCATGTTTTGCTGACTCCAAAGCAACGCTCCTGACAGTTTTAATGACAGCAATGGCAATCGTTGGCCTGTCTCTTAAAATGTCTCTGCTCACAGGAGAGGACGGGAAGCTTTTCAACAGACTGGCCCAGTCTGCCTGTCTCTGCCATCAGGATCCTCGTCTACCCTCGCTTCTATCCTTCAACCAGACCCCAGTCACACTAATGGGTTCCATGCGGACGACCCAGCCACGGGTCACAGATCTACATTAAAGAACATTTAATGTGCACACAGTGGCATTTGCAGTGAACAGCACGTGATGATTTAGAGATGCTTCGTTCTCAACCTCCGAGGGGTACTAAGCTCCAAAAGACGGGGACTGGCTTGTGCGTGCTGGGCAGCGCTGGACACCTTGTAAGGGTCGTAGCCCTCGAAGATGTGTTTTCGGACCCTTGGGTGGGCAAGCTTAGAGACCCTTGCAGATGCCATGGCTTTCTTGGCTCCTGCAGACACAGGCCATGGGACTAGCTTTTCGTGGCGGTAGCTTGGATGTTCCATTTTCGGCTCTACAAGGAACAAATCACGGGGTATAGAAAGAAACGGCTTGTTAAAAAGACTCTGGGATTCAGTATTGTGAAAGGGTCCCAAGGGTTGCTTTCTTCCATGGGAATATATTTTCAGTTAGGATCTCAAAGCTCTCAATCGTTACACTTCACAGTGCCCTGGAGAGATGGGTATTTGGGAGAAACAAGCACGTGGAAGGTGAAACATCTTGCTAGGATTTGACTCTAGAATTTGCTTCTAGTATTCAGGTCTTCCGACCCCACCACCACCATTTCTGTGTTCTCCCCGGTAGACAATGCCCCTTCTCAAAAGAAGAATAATACTCAGTACTTGGGTAGCTCATAAGGCCTACAAACACTAATGCAACCTAGACTGCAGATAAGACATTTGAGAACCACTTGCTGGAGGCAGGACTTCTGGGACCAGAAGGCGGGATAGGAAGGAGATGACGGATAATGAGAAAAGCTACACATCCACAATGAGCTCTGTTTGGGAAGCTGGTCTTACAAGGCTCAGATATTTCTTTGTCTCTGAAAGACACTGATGGATTGATTTTGCTGTGTGGTCCCTAGGGATGGGAAGCAGAGGGAATGGCCTGGAGGGGGAAGGCATGTTCCTGCTAATAGGGTGAGGAAGAGGCGCTCTTACTAGCTAAGGATTTGGTTCTGGTAAAATGCTTTTTTGGAGGAGGGATGGAAGTGGCGTTCAGGCAGGCTGAGAAGTCCCGTCTTTTCGGCTTCGCTAGGTGGATGGTTCGTTCTCGAGGAGCCGCTTTCCTGGCACCTTCACTCACCTGAAATCAAAGGATTGGGTCAGTTTTCTCTGCCTCCCAGCTCCATTTGTACACCTTTAGTTTAACACTACACCTTTGCATGAGCTCAGGCTTCAGCAACATGCACCCTTTGGGCCTTCACACCCAGCTCCGGGTCCGGCAGCATCTCACACTCCCCCAACCCATGTCCCTATCGTTTGTGCGATGCAAGAGTCTCCGCAAGCATCAAAAGACCTGGGACGTAACCTTGGGCCCATGGGGTACCTTCAACCAGGAAAGAGGCTTACACAAACGCAGCGGCCGCATGGGCACGTGAGCAGATCCAGGGAATAGAGCAACTGGCAGGGTCTGTGCCAAGCCAATGGCTTCCCTGCGGCCAAGGAGCTCAACCCAGCTGGAAATGGGCTGAAGGGGGGTCTGAGGACGCAGCAACTTCCCTCAAAAACCAGACGCCGCTTTGGAGCTGAGCTCTGCAGCGCCGATAGGAGAGAAGAAAACGTAAAACAGGAGCTGCAAGCTTCCGAGTTTACAGTAACCAGAGGGAAACAACAGCAGGCATCCCATTAATTGAACAGACATCCGTGCATGCAACTTCATGATTCATAAATAGGATGCCATATTTATGGGCCTCCTTGCCTGCCCACCCCCATATCCGAGTCTCAGTGGGGGACAGAATCAAAGAGACTTGCTCCAAGACTTGTGCATTAGAGGATATGTTTAACTGGAGATCCTCAAAGCGCCGTGCATGTGTCAAGCCCCGGAGGAAGAATACCGACTCTCAACCAGCCGTCACTGCAGGCTGCCCGTGTGCTGCGCGGCCCGATTTTGTCTTTCAGGATACAAAGGGCCTGATTTTCCCATTGGCCTGCTCATTGCACAGTCATTCAGGTTAATGCAAAGCAGGGTCAAATGCTTCCATGCCAAAAAGGGACTGGCAGAGCCTTGTGGCCACGGATGTAAGAGTAGGAGTCAGTGGGCAGGGGGTGACTTAGGCCAGCAGCTTCATGCTGTGCCCTGGTTTCTTCTGCAAGCTTCTCAGGCTCATCTTTTACACGATGCTCATCCAGCCCCTGCCACTGCAAGGCTCCAGTCTCATGCCCCTGAGCTGCTGTTGTAAAATGAGCTTGCCACCAGGTGAAAAGTGAATGCATGGGTATGGTAAGGGGCTGGGGGTTCAAAACATTATGGCTGATGCAGAAACCCAACATGCATGGTCCCAAATACTCCCTCTGTGAAGAACCCCACAGATGGACAGATGATGGGCTCCCCGACAGGCGGACAGACAGACAGACAAGTGATGGACTCCCTGTCCCTGCGGATCTACTTACGACGGTGTAGACGGAGCGCTCTGCTTCCCAGGCCCGGCTGACCTCTTTTGGACGTGCCAGCTCCTTCACCCGAGGAGAAGCCATAGCATGTCTGGAGGCAGCACCCACCGGCCATTCGGGGGAGAGCAGGTTTCTGGCAGAACAGGGGAAGAGCGATTCAGTCAGCCACCTTCCACGTTTCCAGAGCACCTTCCCCAAACCATCTAAGCAAGCGATGCACAATTGAGAGGTGAGCATCGGTGCCCTCGAACACTGGCACGAAGCTGCTTCTGGAGCACAGCAGGGAAGGGGACATAACCGTATGCCACAATTGCACATCTGCTTAAGCGTTAAGGGAACAGTCTGCGATTCAAACGGGGCAAGAGCTCCCACCATTCACTTCAATTAATGCAAGGGTTTTGCTAAATGCTTTCAAAGCTTCCTTTCCCCGCTCTTGATTGTTCGCTTGCTGTTTGCGAGGGGCTTTCCATACTCCCATCACGTGGTTGTTCATGTGACACTCATCAGACTTTTCTAAAGCAGGAAACTTGCAGATAACACTTCCTACTAGTCTCAATTTTCAGACAAACACTTGTACTAAAATTCACCTATAGGATTCACCAACATACCTTGCTATGTACCAGTTTCCATACTTCTCTAGCCTGTTACAGCAGCAGTTTCCCAGACACTCACTGGGTGTGTCTAAATCGCCTGAGGCTAATGCGCATTAAGTTTAGTCGCACGTAAAAGCGCGTGTAGACATGCCCACAGATAAGGATTGGTAGGATCTGGGTAGCTAACCAGCCTGAGAACTTTTAATTTAGGTGAAACTGTTCCTAAAGCAGAATTTAAAAAACCCTGCGGCTGCATTGATGTACGACACAAATATCAACCAAGTCCCTTTCTCCACACCTGTTTTCTTCAAACCCGGGGCAGATCCTTTTGGGCTGAGAAAGTTGTTCTTGCCTGGCAGTCAAGACTGAAACAAAAAAACCAAGTGTGATCCACAAAACTAGTGGTATAAAAGACACGTGTTTACTGTCTACTGCAACAGATTGAGCTAGCCGCGGTTTGGAGTAAGAGGGAAGGAGAAATTCCTGGCAGCAACATGAAGGTTTACGCCTGTGCTGCTTTTGTCAGTCTGGCCCCGATTGTGTGGTGTCGAGCACTTGAAAACTGGCCCAGCTGACCCTCTGGTGCCGCTAAAAGGGACTTTTGACCGGCCCTGAACTGAAAAGCCAGTGGCCTGATGACAGATGCCCTGGACAGCGTCTCGAGCTGCTCGGGCGTTTTCATAACAAGCGCAGCGCCACAGTATCTGCACTATGGATCCAAGTACAGCTGGGGAGATGAAGGAGATCGGCAGGGCACGCGGACATATGGGGGTCATAAAATGGTCCCTGCCTCAAACAGTCGTCTTACATGGCAGCCTTAGACTCCCCGGATGCCCGCCGGGTGCCAGGGCTGCACTTTGCACGAATGCCCCAGGGTGATACTGGTCACAGGTCCGCTGGACCGCCGGTCCTGCTGGTATTAATCTTTCAATCAATATGGAATCACTGGTTAATTTAATCCCATATGGTGACCTTGGCCTCTTCAGGCCTCTTACCAGGGACGGTGAATCTGCCGGCCTTTGAGGGCACTTTATCCGTCCAGTAGACTGAAACCCTGTAATGACAACCCCGCACTCAGTCCATTACTTAGTAAAGCAAACGCGGGACCTCATCTCCCTTCTCCTCTGACCTCCTCCACCCAAGCTTCAGGCCGCGATCACCCTCCCACTGAAGACCCCGGCTGCAGCAGCGTCTAACTCAGCACCCGTGGAAGTTAATGCCGATTTCTGCGTGAATGGGACTGAACCCTTCGTCAAGGCGAGTCAGCACAGTCACCCCCACTATGCAGGTGTGGAAACTGAGGCACGGGGCAGCAGAATGACTTGGGGATGCCACCTGCTCCCCATCTCTGCAGCACTCACTCACTTGTTGTAGTTGATCTGGTGATTGATTTTCGGTCGGGCAAGATAACTGAGGCGACTCTCCTTGGTGCTGTCCCATGCCCGGACGTGCGTTACCGTAGCAGTTGACTTCTCAGGACGCACTCCAGAACCCAGCTCCCTTCCTGGCAACGGGGACATGTCCAGGAGCTGGTTTCCTAAGAGGACGGTAGCAGAGAACGTCTGAGAGCCCCTTGGTGACAATGGACATGGAGGGCTGGGGAGTTTCAAGGGGAAGCCAGGGCAAAACATATCATTTTATTGTCTGTACGTACAGCACCTAGCACAGATCCATGACTGGGCTCTCGCTTTCTGTCTCACATGTGCACATATGCACACACCCAGGTGCTAAAACCGATACCCAGCCAAGCCCATCTTCCTCACAGTCCACATTCCTGAGCAATACCTTGGCTTTGGGTGGTGACCTGCATCTTGCTTGGGCCAGAGGCTGTTATTGTTCCCTATAGGATCGCCCATCTTTCTTATGCCTGGTTGATAATGAGGATGTGTTTGGTAGCCGTGTTGGTCTGAGACAAAAAGAAATGCAAAAATCCAGAACTCTTGTTCAGAGATGACACCTTTTATGAGGTTCGTTTCCTACTTACGGGGACTTTTTACCATCTTGAACTTTCCCTGAGCCTGATGAAGGCCGTGTGAGCCCAAAAGCTTGCAAACAAGATTGTGCATGTATGTGTGTGTGTGTGTCTATATATATATATATTGCAATTTCTCAGTTGGTCGAATAAAAGGTATTACCTCTGAACCAAGAGTTTTAGATTTTTGCTTGGTTGATAATGAAACACTGCTGGCTTCAGGGATGTTTCACTGAGACCATCACCCCACCACGAACTGTTAATAATACTTTGTGTTGCAGGAGGACCTGGGAAATTCAAGGATGGGGACCCACTCTGCTGAATACACGGAAGATATTAGGTCTGAAAGGGTATAATATGGGATATATCCTATAGGTATTGTAGATGTTGATCCTATCCTATTGTATCAATTCCGGAATAAAATATGGGATAGTAAGCCACATCCCAAACTGTATTCAAAATAGTAATAATCTGAATTAAAAGCAACTTCCATATGTCTGTGTGTAAACTCAATTCAACCATATTGCCTGCCCATATTGTATCGTATCGTGTCATAATGTCACGTCATGATATGTCACATCATGTCACCCCACACTATGCCATACCATAATTAATATAATGTGATACAATTAATAGAATAGCTGCTTCTCTGTTGTCATACGCATTTGTCCTGTCTCTAAAGCATTCCTTCCCCCATCTCTGATTAATATTCGCAGTGCCACTGCAATATTCACAGTGGTTATTGATTTAAAATCCCTGCTTATGATAACATTCATCAGATTTATTAATGACCGCGTGCGCCATCCTTCACTGAGCACCCCTCTCTCCGCAGTCAATAGGGCTCATTCCTGGAAGACCACACGGTTTCGGCTGCGTTATTCATCCTAGTAGCAGGCCACGCTCATTCCCAGCCAGTTCCCCTGTCCGCCTAAGGCAGATGTAAGGGCCGAAGTGCACTGGATTAAAACTCCAGTGACAGCCGGGATGGGCTTGTTGCGACCATGCAACGGGGTCCCTTTCAGGCTTCTCCAGCTGGAGGGGCTTGGAGCCCCAGCCTCACTGGAGGGCCCTGGCCTGGAGGAGCACGGGGAGCAAGTGGCAGCCCTCCAGTGCCTTCAGCAGGGCTGAGGTTCACCCCAAAAGCTGGGAGGTTTCCCCCATGCCACTCTGCCTGGGGTTCCCCCCCACCCCTTGCTCTGATCAACCTGATCCCAGGCCCCCTGACACCCCCAGCTTCCCCTAGACACCCCCATCCCCTCTCTGCCTCCTTCCCCTTACTCTCTTCCCCGTCGTTTCTCCCACCGCCGCGTCCCGAGTCGGGGTCCTCAGCCCTTCGTCCCCTCCCGGAACCACACACGGGCGGTTGCCGTGGGGAGGCGGAATCCCAACCCCCACAGCTTCCCAGTGTCCCCCAGCCTGCAAATGTTCTTTACGTCAGCTCCTGCTTAGACATTGTTCAGCTGGGGCTGACCCTGCTGCCTCTAGAGAGCCTAGGTAGGCGCCGCCTCCTTTTCGTGGGTTTATCCAGCCGTGGGCCAACAAGGGGACGTGGCTTTTGTCTTAAGCTGAGGACTGCAGTGGACTGGCTGTCCATCTCATAAAATACATTTGCTCCCTGCGGGAAGACTAGCTCTGCAGAAAGAGAAAAGCAAAGAAGTGT